ATAGCGACTTCTAACTTCAGCCTCTACAATCCTCGCACTCCGGTTTTCTCACTGCTGTAGTAAGAACACCAGGATTTTCTTCATGATGGAGTGGGAATGTTCTCATTTGGTCTGAATTTACTGTGTTCAAAGGCTGCATACATCTGTGTGCTGACATGCCGTGCTGATATTTCAAGAACCTGTGTTCACAGAATTTCTACTACATTATATTTGATCTCTGACCGCAAAATTTTTTGAAAATGTAATCCAAGACCAATTTTATCCTTATGTAGCTGCAGGAATGTAAACTCCTCTAGGGGAATAGATATTTCCTTCACTGAAACTGATTATAAAACAGCCAGGAAATAACTGAATTGGCAGAACTGTAGGTGCAGCGGCATTTAGATCAAAGACAGAGGGGAAAAGTCAGAAGCCACTGATACTAATAACCATTTACTCTGGATGAGCCGCAGCCAGGCCAGATCCACAAGCAGCTTTGATTAGAATTTGTCCATCAGTTTTATGTCCCACAAACCACTCTATCCCTCAACACTCAAAGCAAAATAAATGATAGGAACATCTTTGACTAAATATTTTGTTTCACATACTAAAAAGCTAATATCTGACATGCTTAAAGTAAGTTCACACAATTGAAGCTAGCTGCTGGCAAGCAAAAGGGTTCTCTTTTACATGTAAACAGAAGTCTGATGAGAAATAAACGTATACTTAAAAAATAGTGATAAGCATATAAACTCTGCCTTATTCTTGATCTGATGCCTATTTTTAAATGGAAATATGGGCTTGAATTGGTCCATCAGCAACTAAATCAACAAAAATAATAGAAAGTTTTCAACAGGCATCAGTCTTCTTCCTGCTCTAGAGCTGAAGCATAGTTAAGATGCTAGAAGAAAAATAATTGTTTCCTATATTCTGCACTCGTCCCTCAAAAAAGTGAAGTAGTTCATGCAAAAAGTAAGAGCTATAGCTTAATTAAGAAATGTAACATACAACACATGTAAAAGCAGAAAAGTAAAGTATATTCATGATGAAATTGTATAATATGACTTCGGAATTACCATACACAGTCAATTTAAACTGATCTACAAAAAGTACATTATTTCACTATGGTATATTCTCTGTGGATTGAACATTTTACAGCGTGAGTTGAGATGTGAGAACTGGAAGCCATTCAAAAGAAAAGTGTAAAATGAGGTATGTTTATCCTTACAATCACTAGTAAACTACTATCTCAAAATCACCTGCTAAGTTTACATTAATTTTGCCCATTTATTGAACATATCACTAAGTTCCACTGCTTTCTCTCTTGGACTCATTTCATAAATAACTTGTATAGTTTAAAATATGATACTATACAACATCAGTGATCCCAGAACTTAGCCTACACTAGTTAAGGTTTTTGGTTTTCTTTGCTGAATAGCAGGAGATAAGACATGCAAAAAGATGGGGGGAAAAAAAGGAGAAGGAGAACAGACTGGAGAGCACAGGACCGCAGGTGTAAGCTCTTGGTGCAAGGTTAGTAACATTTGAGCTTCTATTCAGTCAACACTTCTGCTCATACACTACACTGCAAAATTAAGGTTAAGCTACAGATATGCAGGTTTAATGGGGCAGTATGCAGAAAAGCATCATAGGGCTGACAGTGATGTTTCTTAATTCCTCTTAGGAAAAAACATGCCTGGAATGTATTTTATTGCTTGTAGATCTTCACTAAATGTACTGCACATCTTGTTCATTAGTATCACTAAAATCAAGAGATTGATTTGTCAGCCAGCTTCCCAGCCAGGATCATCTTCTCCCCTGATACCACCACCTCTGGAGGTCACTGATGATGCAGTGAGTATTGGGAGCAGAACCTCTTCAACAGAAACGACCCTCAGGAAAATGAGAAGCTGATTTAAAAGGGGAAGGAGCACTGACCCATGCAGCCTACCTGGTTCAGAGAACAGAGATGTCAGTTGGCTGGATGATGACAGAAACAAAGTAGTATTTCAGATAGGACCATGCTGTCATTAAAGCTATATAACCAAAATTCAGGACAGTAGATGTGCAATGGAAGCAATGTTTTTAGGGCCTGTCCTCCCATGGGATACTCACTTCCCCAGTTCAGTCCTACTACAAGGATAAAACCAGAGAACAGAAATCTAAAGAAGCTCCTTGCCTAGTGGGTTAGCAAGCAATAGCTGTATTGTAAAGAAAGCAGACAGTACTTTTTTCTACCCATGCATCAAACTCCATGTAGAAGCACTATTCATCTCAGATGTAACGCTTAAGACACATGATGCTATCTGACCTTGGAGGTGGGCCATAAGTCTATGGCTAATACACAAGTCCCTGTTGCCATCAGCTCAAATGTTTTTTTTTTGTTTTGTTTTGTTTTTTAATAGTTTAAAAATACACAGTATGCAGACAGCCAACGTCTAACAGATTATTGTTTTTTTCCTCATGTTCTGGGATTTTTTTTAATGTAAGCTTTCAAAGAAAAACATTAACAGATTCAGAAAGACATACAGGTCTCCATAGTTAACAAATTTCCAATCTGGTAACACCTTGCGCTCTAATATATGTAAATATTTTTATTCAGGCTGCTAACCACAAGGCATAGCAGCCTTGAGCTCATTTCATGCCCCAAAATATAACTTCAAGAAGTTTCCTGGTACCCTTAACTGATTCATTTCTCAGTGATTTTTTAATTTATTATTATTGCAAGATAAGCTGTTAAGTCTCAGATGCTGAGTAATTTCTCATAAAGTCATCTGAAGCTGCTTCTTGCAAACTCAATTTTTTATATCTTGGGTTCTAGCATCTGAACTCATTGCTGAGTTTTAACAGTTCAGATTTTTGATCCTTGAAATATTCCCAAATCTAAATTCCTGAAACTAAATAACTTGGCATTATGAAGCACAATCATCTGTTTTGTTTGGGTTTGTTTGCTGTGGGGGAGGGAAGGGAAGAAAGAAGAGAAGATTCAAGTGTGTTTTCAGTTATCCTCTGACCCCTGGTACCTGAGTATGCTCAAATCCCCTCCTAGAATGAACTAAAACTACTTCCACTAATTGCTGGTTCCATCATTTATGTAATTTCATTACCCCTTGATTGTTTATTTGGCAGTATGTGCTCTCAAAGACACACTAAGTCAAATGTGATGCTTCAAGCTTAAAATTTAGTAAGTCACTCAAAATACCATTCAGTATTGCTCTCCTCCAGAAGACACATTCAAAACCAGATGACTACAATTAAATGTGCATCATAAAACAGCTAACATGACAAACAAAATAACAAGTCAGATTATTTTCTCAGAAGATATAATTAAGATGACACAAGAATCTCATTTAAATATTGATTCCATGGTGCTGTTGTGTCAGTCTTGATCTATTTGACATCATTTGCATCATAAGTATAATTTAACACCACATCCCACACGCCCCAACAACAAAAAAACTTTTATGGACTTAAGCAGTTGCTAGCTACTTCTGCTTCTAAGAGTAAAAACATGTTATAGCACTGAACTACCTAACCTAGTCCAGATGAGCTAACTTGTGTTCTGAAAGCACTGTAGATGAGTTAGTGTGGTACCTTAATAAAGCACCAGTTTGGATATGTTGTAACCTTTAGTAATGAACAATGAAAGCCTACGCTATACCCTGTGTTTGCTTCCCACAGTTCATCACAATTATCTGAGCCTGATATAGATAAGCATTTAATCCAATTATCTCTCATCCATTTTCTCCAATTTGGAACAGAAAAACAGAGACATTAGTCCATCCTTCTCTCACTGGAGGAAAAAAACCCCTCAACATATTGAAAATACTTCCATCAACCTCTCCTCTCTTCTCTACCTTCCCAAGCTTGCTCACATAAATGCTAAATAATGAAGGGTGACAGCACATACTCTGTGATATCCATCATGAGGGGATCACTGGGGTTTAAAAGCAGTTAACCTGCTTCCTCATCGTTAAATTAATTCAGTGCAAGTAGCAACTCTCTACAATTCACCAGCAGCTTTTATACATTATCAGACACCTTCTTCATATCTTGTGATGTGAATTTTGGAATGAAAGAGCACCTGTAAGAAATCCTTTATGTTCCTCAGATTTATCCTAAAAAGTAAGTATCCCAGTGAACTTGGATAGATACTGCAACCCAAGAAGGGCCCCGAGACACATGCAGTTACACAAAATTAATTTTGTTCTATCAGAGAGGGAACAGGAAAAAATGTAAGTGGTAGCTCACCGAGTACCCACAAGCATTTATTTGTAGACTGTGAAGATGGCTCTGAAGACAGGTCTAGATTAACCATTTCTAAACTTAGCAATCTGGTGTTTTTCCTGATGAACTACTCCTCCAGAAAAAGCAACTCTGAACGTACATACATATATAAAATCATTTTAATGTCTCAGTTTGCAAATCTTCACATTTCCACTGCCAGGCTGTGCAAGCATTTACTATATAGTTAGGTTAAAAAGTCAGTCAGTTATACAGGATATATGTATTTCCACAAGGTAATGAAAACTGCATTTTCAACTCTAAAAATTCATCTATCTCCCAGATAATATCATCCTTTGTAAGTTTCACTGAAATAATTACATCAAATACCAAACTATATTGTGCAAAGAGATTTTTATTTGTAACTAAATGACACTGGTGAATAAGAAACCAGGAATAATCCAATTATCAGTAATACCAGCCGATGAACATTTTGATCTTCTAACTCTCCTATATTTATTACTAAGCTTTAAGCAAAACCAAGAGTAAAATTAGTGAACAATGCTGATCTTAAATGATCTCTTCACTACACTCTCTTGGGCCAAGAGTATCGGGCATTGCCACATAGAGGTGTAGTTGAACCATTCTTATTTTTTCCACCCTAACTAGTTTATTCAGTCACAGGCAATGCTGTACCAGCTACTTCAATCCTCCAAAATTTTAAAGTAAACCATGAATTGCCAGGTAAGCAGCAGCCATGGCAGACTGAAGCGTAATAGAGGAAATACTAATCTTACCTTCACACACAGGGCAGCACTCCCCAGGGACTTTAACAGGATTTAGACAGCTCTGCCCACAGGCCGTTGCAACACAGTGTGGATCTCCATTGATGCACTGGCAGAAAGTACAGTCGTCCTCTCGCCAGCGGTCTCCGTGAGCTTGGATCTGACCATTGGCATAGCAGCCAGCAGGGTTATTTATTGGATAAACTGGGTCTGAAATGAGAGGAATTGCAACAGAACAACAGTTTTTATCTTTCCTTTTACAGCTAAACTTTATGTATGGATAACCGCAATACCATGATTTTACATTACCTAGAAAGGGTTAAGTGCAGCCACTATCAAACACTGAAAGAACCACACTGTGGTATACCATGATAAAAGAAGATAGCTAACAACTTCAATATTTCAATATTGAAATTTACTGTCAGAAGAGTTAAGTCAACTTATACTCAACATTCACAAATTCAGTGTTCTATTTTTAACTATTTCAACTCAAGTTTTGTACGTAACAATTACAAGGCTTAATTTTTTGATTTTTTTTATTTTGTTCTACAGAACAAAATGGATCTTAGATCTATTGATCCATTTTTTGTACCAACTTAAATTCTGAGGGAAAGTGAAAACATATCAATGAACCATCGGAATGACTCGTGTCAGCATCGCACCACTATTTTATAGTATGAGCAAAGATGAGACTTCTTGCACATTTCCTGCTGGAGCAAGGAGACTGCCTTAAGCTACATCTCATCACAGTTCTGGAGATATACTAGTTTTCCTGAACAGATGATCTGGCTTAGTTTTCAACTTCATTTCAGTTGGAGCATTTTCCCCTTAAAAGCCACAAGACGCACTTACCTGCTAGCAATCAAATTAAGACTCGAGTATTTAAATAACAGAATTTGGGGACACACACTTTAAGTAAGATTTCTCCTCAATTTCATGCAAATAAATAACACAACTCTGTATATGCTAATTCGTGTCTTGAAACAAAAGCAGCTTTTACTCTTCAGAAATAGCATGTTTTACGCTTCAGAAATGCGATAAGCAACACTGATATTAATAGGAAAAAAAAGCATTATGTGAATGTGTGCTAATAAAAAGGTAACTGTTAGACTAAAAAATTGAAATATCTGAGAATGTACAGTAATTAGGTCAAGCTTTCAAAGCAAGCAGTAATATAAATTACATATTAAAGCAAATTCAATATATTAAAAACAATAAATACAACTAAAAGCATTTTTTTAGCAGACATCAGATAGCGGACATCAAATAAGTACAAGTCATTTACCAATAAGTCAATTTTCAGAAAGTGTTAAGTTTGAAGGACTTGGGAGAAAAGAGATGTCCTATCTAAAGGGGGGGCGGGGAAAGGTACTGAATGAAACTTGGAATATTTCTCTGAAGTTTCATCACTCCCCTTTGGAAGGAAGGCAATACATCTTAAGTGTAGATAAAACCAGTAGCAGTACTAACAGCTGTTGTCTTATTATAAGACATTGTATCACTTTATGACAGTGTCAAACTCTGAACACTTGGAGTGAAACTGCACATAACTTCAACCTCTACCTGGCATTCACTCCCATCCTGAATTTTAGTGATATTCCCAATTTTAGCAAAAATGGGTTAAGCCAATATAAAAAACAGGTGTTTGGTAAAATAAGACATTTAAAAATTAAAATGCTTCCTAATCTCTTAACTTTGCACCTTTTATGTTTTAGAATTACCTTGCATCTGTAATTAACTATTTTGACCTAGCCAAAAATCAAATCATACACAAACAAGTGAAGTGAATTTCATCATTCAGCTCATGTACAGGATTCTGATTGACACAGGAATACAGAGAAAGGACAGAAAAGCCATATAAGACCTGTGTTATTTGCAGTAGTCTCCTATGCAAGTCAAAGCACAAAGTTCCTGGCACCCTTAAAAGGTCAGTAGTGTTTAAAGCTATAAATTGAGCCCAGCAAATTACATTTCCTGATGCTGAGGTACCCTATAGGACTTGAGACAGAATTCTTCCTGGAGCTAAGGCAAGAAGGGCTTGTGCCTGTACTACACAATGCATATCAAGTTTACCATTTGCCATTTTAAAATTGTTGCAGAAAAGAAGAGAGCATTATATTTATTTACATTTCTATCATCAAGAAAACATTAGTAGGAAACAATTAATCACCCTGAAAATCAGTCATGAAATAATCAAATAGAAAGAGAGCAGGTAGAAAAAAATGCTACCTCTTCACCAACTAGAAAAGCATGAATGGGCAAGCTGTTAAGTATACATTCTGCCCAGTTAGAAGACTTATCTTGTCAATTTAGGTGTCACTTAACATAACCTGAGTTATTAAGAAAGGGATCAGAGCTTTCGTTTAAGTGTTTAAAGGAACCAGGAAAATTGTAATACATTAACAGAGCCAGTTCTAGCCTCACCTAAAAGAATTCCACTAAATAAAAAGGGATTTATAGTAAGAAACAACATATACCTTATCATCCAATCATTCAGAAATCAGACTTCCATGATTCAGGGCTGTAAGCCCTATCAGAAAAGCACACAACAGAAACAAGCAAGCCAAACAGCGCCAAATGATTTGATGAAGGGTCCTGTAACTTGGCATCTCAGTCAGCTGAGCAGAAATTAAATCACAGCAATTACTTGAAAAATAAGACTGTACTCAATAATTACGAATCATTATTCAATTTATTCTATCTACTAAGGACCTGCCTTAAGAAGAAATTTCCATTGCAAACCTAATACATACCAACTCATGAAATGTTAACAGGTTTTCTTGATAGTGTGATTCGAAGGTTGCAAAAAATGGAGAAATCAACTTTTAACAATGTATGACGATACAGCAAAACAATTTATTGATAAATGGTAAGATAGTTGAATATCTAAATCACCAAAGAGGATGAAGGACATATCTAGAACTATAAGTCCAACGTGGAAAATCAGCACCCACATTTAAGTACGACAGAGCTGATAGAGAGCCCAGATATAGCAGATATGTAGATACATTGTTTATGTATCTATATACATTGTCATAATGATTTCATAATGCCAAATCTCAGAACATTCACACATGTGGAAAATAGTAATTATAGGAAAAAACCAACAGACTTCACATAGTCTATAAAGTCAGCAGGTCATACAGCAATTTCTTCAGGAGTGGATCTGCACTTACTCAGGAAGGGCTTTACCACATCAGAGATGCCTTCTCTAAACTTTTTCAATCTGTCATTAAATGACGGTATAGCACTGTATCCTTCCCCCCCCAGCTTGAAGGGTCATAAAAGTATAGGCACAACTGTACCAGGAAAGACCAAGAAGTCTAGCATCCTGCCTCCAACTATAGTTAATAATGAATGTCGAGACCAGATCTTAAAACAAAGGGCAAACATGGACTGGTATCTCTTTAGAATACTTAAGCCTACAGCATTTGTATTTCAGCTTCTCTGCATGTGAACACCAGGTATCAACCTATCTGATATGAACTGATACAACAAAATATATAAAAATACAAATACTCTTTAAAGAATGACTTCCTACCTTACCACCTTGATATTTCATTATCCAGATTTGTTTTTTTTTTTTAAATCTCTGAAGAAGCTTTCAACAGTTTGTAACAAAACAGGGCACCAAAACAGTATCCTTCACTAGATCCTGTGCTGATTGAGAAGGCCCAACTCTTATAGATGTCTCTTTTAGACTCATTTTTACAAGGTTCTTTACTTTCCTAATTCTCTGTTTGGAATGAAACACAGCTATAATGGGTCTTTTGGATTATTTGCTCCTGCAAGGAACTACAGGAATACTGATATTAAGCAAACTACAAAGTGTTTGAAAGTGACACTGAAAATTAGCTTCCTCTCCTCTTAGGAGGAGATTTGAGATTTCCAGCTTATTTTGCTTATTGAGAAGTCATTTGTAAGTTCACATTTAAACACAGGGACCAGGAGTGTTTCACAGGCCTTTTGTCTATGTCGTGGCCATGACTTGACCCCCACTGGGGTGAAATCCAAGTGTAGAGCACCAGCCCCAGCCCCATCTCCCTCTGCTGGAATCTTGGTTGTATTCCGGCAGAAGATGTGTTAAATATTTTCTAGTGTAAGCAAGAGGGTCAATGTGAAATCTCCCACAGAGCCCTTTTTAGGAGGACTGCAGGCCTAGCAAACAGAGGAGAAGGCTGTCAACAGGGCAAAGGAGGAAGAGAGAAATATTGAAGTCAGATTACTACCCCATGTTTTTGCTATAATTGTAGAGAAAAGAAGGCGTATGCATTGCTCTAACTGAACAGAACAAGACTGGAAGAAGCAGGCTGCAAAGCAATGGAAATGTGTCATGGGGCCACCACTGTTGCTTTGGAGAAGCCTTTCTAAATACCTGGTGCAGAAATTAGGAACAGCTTCTTACGTCCTTTGGGAAGAAGGGCCCCCAAAAAGTACTGCACACTTGACCATGTCTAAGGAAGTTCTGATGCAGAAGGGAAAGGAAACCCAAACAGCTCTCTATGAAAAGGGTAGAGTGTCAACATCAGAGAAGCACTGCAAAGAACAAGACAGCACACTCAGACACAGCAAAAATGTAGTAATAAACTGAATTAAGGAGCAATCTGCAAACTTTAGAAGAACAAAATAAAGCACTTGTTTGCTCATTTGCCTTGAAAAACCAAATTAAAAAAAGCAGCGGAAATTCATAAGCAAACAGGATTAAAAAGATATTGTACCTTCACACACCGGGCAGCACTCTCCTTCTGGCACATAGTACCTGTCGCAGTGTAGCTCACCACACTGGGCAGAGAAACAAATAGAGACTCCACCTTGGCATCGACAAAACCGACAAGCATCCATTCGAAACATGTCTCCATCATAATATTCCATGCTGTTAAATATGCAAGTTGGCTTTACTTCTGAAAGAAGGAGGAGAGAAGAAAAAAAAAGAATAATGTATTTTACAGATACTGATAAACGGGAAATAGTTAAACTTGTGTTGCTACTGACAAAACCAGATATTAAAGAGACAGTTGATTCTTCTTTCATTTTTTAAACTCAAATACAGTTTGTTTGTTTGTTTTTTTTTAACAACATGGTATATTTTATTTCTGTTTCAACAATGGAAAAAAATAAAATGCCATTCAAAATAACTTTCACAGCAATTATCTACTATTAAAAGTCTCCATTTTAAAAATTAAAATACTGAAGGAAGGTTACAGCACTGGTATTTCTTCATAGGTGTTAAATATTTCTCATTCTAGATGAGCCAGAAGCTACTTCAAATTTCAGCACATGAAGCAATAGATTTTTCTGTTTTGAGGTTTAAGCGTAATCTTCCTTTCTGCAGGACTTCGTACACAGGTGGATAAAATGCTGTCCAACCCACAGGGTTATGTTTAAAAAAAAACCCCAACAAATGTATTTCGTGACTGCATGATCTGTTATGCAGAACTGAATACTTTTCAGTTCAAGCAACCTGGAGCTGTACTAATCAGCTCACATCTATATTCCCCACAGAAAATAACGTCAATTGTAACAAATATTTATGTGATCATTTTAGTGTTTCAAAAACACAAGACTATTTCTTGTATGCCTCCATCTACAGTAGAGCCCTCACGTATAATTAAATTCAAACTTCATGGGAAACAAAGCCTCTGAAAATTCTTAAGTATTTGGGAAGGACATTGCCTATTTACTTTGTTAACATTAAAAAAAAAAGAAAAAAGAAAAAAGAAAAAAAGAAGCTAACTAAAACAACAAAACGGTTTGCAGATTTAACCATCTCCTTTTTTAATATTATTTTTTTATACCAAAGAGGTTTGGTTCCAGATTATGAAGCGGATCCACACATCATGAATACATCATAAGGTCTCCTTAGGGCTTTTGAACTTGCAGTTACCCCACACATATGAAACTTCCTCCACCTCCACTACCTATTGCCAGCAGAGCGTATTCTGTTCAACCAGCCTAACTCACACACACACAATGCTGTGCAGCTCCACAGCCCAGGACTGAATCATTGTGACTCAAGACACCGTAGAAGACATACTCCAAATTTATGTTCAGCTATAATATACCACATTAGTCATTAGGAAATAATGACTTCACAGTTTCATTACTACATTACTCAATGACTTCAGCCTCCTCCCTCTTCCCCACTTCAGAATAAACTTCTCGGCCTTCTATGACACTAGCCCAAAAGACCTGAAAACAACTACCTGAAGTAAAACACTACCTACTGAACAGACGTATTTTTTCAGAAGCTACGAATCTAGCCAATGGTTCTGCAAATAGGAAACTATTTCAGCAACAAAGTCAAAATTAAAAACATTACCAAACTGTAGATAAAACCATCAAATTTCATTACATCTGAACTAAACATAGTGAAGGAAATAAAGGACAATTGCCTATGGTGCTGATTTCTGTGGAATGCATGGAAAAGGCTATTCATTCACTTACAGGCGTAATGCCTAGCCACATAGGGCTGAAAACTGTTCCCACTTTGTGGTCAGGTCAGTGTTCAGTCTCACATGGGAGATGAAAAATATTTAAATGAAAATTCAGCATTTGCAGATTCCTTTCCACCCCAATCCTCTTACTTTTGGGGGCTAAAAACTTTTCATCTGAGTTACTCTTGACAATAATACAGGTTTTCTTTAAAACTCGAAAGCATTTCAAGGACTCTAGTATTTCTTGCCACATACACTTATATTGAGCTCCAGCCTCAAGTCATTTAATATGACTGTAAAGCATTGGAGTTGAAACCTGGAAGCATCCTGAGCAATGTTTGATTTTTATATGCCTGTTCTGTCTTCAAGGCATCATGTCGAAAGCAGCATAAAAGAGTAAGAGGAGGAAATACCACTGTGTCCGGGAAAACAGCTATGACCTCATTAGAAAGCAATTCACATAAACAAACACTTGAGAAATATTTCAAGTTTATGCAGCTCAAGCTGTTAGTTTAAAAACCTTCTCAAAAAGGAAGAAAGTGCCAATACAACTCAAAAGGCCTTTAATCCATTTGCTTCTGACTTTACTGTTTTGATTGCAGCCTTCCAGATTTTTACTGATTCCACCCTCCCCAACTTCTGCCTCGCTAGAAGTAGAAACATCATCTTCCATGAATTATCATTCGTTTTTAAAATGTCCAAAACAAGATCAAGCAAGTAACTGTAAATCCTAAAAGGAAACAGTATGTTTTATTCCTACAATGAAAACCACCATAGTATTTCACTATACGTGTATTTTTACCATCCAGATTTATGGTATTGTATACATTCACACTAAACTACTGACCTATGCCTATACATCCAGCTATGAGACAAGGATTACTTTTGTTAGAACCATATGTAAGACTGCAGTCTTAAGACTCAGTCAAGCCAAAATAAACACTAAACAAAGAACTCTAGCTTTAGATGCTCATAAAGTGGAAGCCTAATGAAAGACTGAGCACCACGCCATGGAACTGTAATGATGCATTTCTTCCACCACGATATGCTGGAAGATTCTCCAAGTTCTCTCTCTCTTTTTTTTTTAAAGTGCTAATTTTATTGCCTTGCTGATCTACGTATGGCAGCCACAAAGGAGTGAAAGAACATAAAGTAAACATTAAATAAATGCATCTTTTCCTAAAAACCAGTAACCACAAATTCACTCTTCTGCCAATAACAAGAACACTACAGGTAGAATTCTTCAAATACCAAAGCTTCGCTGCATGACAAAGTAATTTAAATTGACTGAACTTCATAGCACAAAGTGCTTAAACATATCCAAATCCCCAAATCCCTTTTCTGATATCTGCTTTCTGATGTTTCTACCGCAATGAAAGAGTGGGTGTGAGACATACACCAGGCCATGGATTCGTGAACTTGAATTCAGTATCTGCCAGCTACCAGATAACCCAGTAATACAAGATTGATCCCAACCAAGCACAGACATACAACTGCCCATCTGTGAAAGGAGCCAGGACAGAGGGGACAGTACCCAGAACAAGACAGAGTTTATACTGGCTATTGAAGGACAGATGATATCACATCTCTGCTCCTATATAAAGTTAAGTATGACTAAGAGACAGGCCTTGATTTGACATTGAAGTTCCCGCCACAGATTTAAATGATAAATAGTTCTGGCACAAATTTAGCTCTACAGATCTCACAGCCACAGCCTTTTTGTTCTGGGAGCAAGAGCCCTAAAAGTCAGTGTTGCAGCAAACCACACAGCCTCACACTACACAGACACAAACAGTGATTATTTCTCAAGACCTTTATCTCCAATCTGAACTGCAAACAGACACAATCCATTTTACCAAATCAGTTTTTTAAGGTATTTTAACCTTACACTTTTAAATCTGATTCGATACACTTCTATTGGCTGAACTAGCCCACCAAAACTTCTGTTACTGAGATTTCTTTAGTTTCCCAATACTTGTGGTTTTCTTTGATTAGAGTCATGGAACAGCTCAGAAACACAAGCAAGTTTGGCAATCTGCTCCTTGTGAGGCAGCAATTCTGCACAGTTATACCGAGTGCATGAGATGCTTCAGGCATCAGCTGCCTGTAGGCAAGTTTGAGCATTTTCTTTTTTAGTATCAGAAATCCCAGCCCTCCTGAAGTGGAAGTGAGATTCAAAACAATTTTCTGTTGTTTAAAGGATTAAAAGGTTCGTGATTCCAGCACTTTGGATTTCCTTCAGCGTACAGAAGTATTTGTACCAGACTCTTGGAAGGAACTGGGGCAAGTGCTGTGAACTTTCGATTAAATGAAAGGGAAGGAAACTGATAAACTTGAATCCTGTGTCCGTATAAACAAAATACAAAAAAGCTTTTCATTTTTCAAAAGCTGTGCTGATAGGGAGTTTAAAAAAGAGAAGGATACATTTCATTGGACTTAGCCCATAACAGTGTTAAAGGACAACACACTGTATGCTTTTGTTTCCTTGCAAATACATAAAAACAAGCTAGGTACAAAAAAAAATAAATTTGGATTCTTACTATTCAGGTTGTACTGCTTAGTGCAGTGTATTCCCTATTAACACAATTGCAGGACCATTCTGAAAGTCCTTTGGTCCTACATCTTCTGAAAAGGTCATCCAGAAACAGAGAGATCTGAATTAAAACAAACCTGTAACTATTATTTGTAAATCAATGCAATTATTTATACATGCATTTATACAATTATTTATACGTACTTAGCACAGCTTAAAGGAAAGAAACAATATTTTGTGGCACATGCAGCCTGTAAAAGATACTAGGGACACTGAGGAAAATCAAATTCAGCAATTCACCTTTAAAACAAAATGGAAACAATCAGATTTTTATAGTAAGGTTTCTAGCAGAGAAAGTCCATATCATCACATTAGAAACCACTTGTACATCCAGCTGCCACAATCTATATACAGTGTTGACTTTCAACAACAGTCTTAAAATTTTCTGTCCACCTCAGCAGCAGATCCCAATCCAGTAATCTTTAGGCAGCTTCAGACGACAGCTCTCATGTAGGTTGATATACGTGTCTTTTACACACAGCAGACAAGACTGCGAGGTGTTCCCCATAGAGACAGAAGACTTATTTCCAAGTCACCATATCATGGAAAAGAGCATGTTGGGGGAAAGATCCCCCAACAGAATCAGCTCTACCCAATACATCTCTGGTGTAATCTTTGCTTTAAAACCACTGGTAATGGAGAAACTGTAACCTGCTTATTAAACAATTCCATAGTTTTAACTACTGTAACTAAGCTCAAATCACAGCAAGGGTAATTCAGGTTAGACAGAAACAGCAAACAAACAGGAATTTTCCCACGTTTCTTTACTTTTCCCATCTTTAAGGTATATGTCCTGCTGTTTTTTACTTTCCTCCAATGTGCAAATTTGTTGCTAAGAGGACTTATCCTGGGTCCCTGCCCCCATCCTCTCTTA